TGTGTCATACATTTTATCTCAGTAGTGGGATTTAAAAGCACAAGATGAAACAACATACATGTCTTAAAGTGCTCCTCTCCTTCTTTTCAATAAATGAATGTACTTCTTCTTCATGTCCCTTCGTCTGCTCCTATCAGCTGTGTTGGTGTGACGTGTTTTTTTTTGCTTGGTGGTGTGTAATAAAAGTGACTATGCGTGTGTTGATGACTGGGCACAGAGAGGGTGGAGAGGAAAAGCTGGGCAGGGTTAAAGGCTGGTACATAGCTGCTAAGAATGTGGCCTGGACAGCTTTTCAGGGCGAACAAGCGCGAATGTGAAAGTGTGTGTGTGAAAGAGTGAGCCAGTCAGAGAGACAGGGAGAGGGTGTGTTTATTATTACACTGCTCCAGTCAGTGTAGGACCTTTCTCTGACTGTAACAGCATGGTAAGAACTCAGCTCCTTTTCACTTTTCTTTTATTTGTAAAACTGACAAAAAAGCGCATTTTGACACCAGTGAGAGATGACTTGTTACACCAGCATGTTACACCTGCATGATGTAGCGCCTATAACATGATGTGTATAGTCGGTGTTTGTGCGACATGTCATGTTTTTGAAATAAAGTAACCATTTGTGAAGAGACTCACATATAAATGGAAGGAGACTGGGCGACAAATGGGGCCACTGCTAGGTACCTGTGTGACAGAGTGTACTGTAAATGTCGTTCAGACGAGAAACCACACACTTTTCAAAGTCTGGATAATCTGCCAGACAGTCACTTTTGTGGAAAGACGCCCTAATCACCTCTTAAAAAATCACTTTGTTATGTTAAATACTTAAGTTATAATTACAAACACTATTCCAAAGGTTGGGCGTCAGTTTGAGTGGCTGTTTCGAGGATTTGTCAGCTAGAATGTAGGTCTGCAGTTGACATACTGTATGAGCACAAGCCCTGTAAAGGCTAAATCAGCTGCACCAACCTGGAAGTGAGTCAGTCAGATAAATTAATAAAGAAATAAATAAATAAAATTATACATTATGTCACTGGGAAGAAGTCTCAATAGTTGCAGCAGCTGTGACATCCAGACAAACTGTCAGTATACTAAGAAAGTAGAAAGGAGATGTCCAATAGAAAGGTTTACATTGTTTGCCTATTTGCCACTAGTACAGTGGATACAGGACTTCTCTTCATTGATGATCTGATAAGTATATGTTTATAAAACACTGCTCGGTTTGCATCACTTGGCAGCCATGCACACAATATAGTTACACATCTGTGAATTCACTACCTGGGCCTGGGTTTAGCATGAATTTGTATTGTCTGCTGACTAAACCACAGAGCCAGCTTTGAACTGCAGGTTCTGGGTCACAGATAGAAGTGAAGAGTGTGTGTGTGTGTGTGTGTGTGTGTGTGTGTGTGTGTGTGTGTGAGACAGGAAGCTCACAGCTTTAGACGGCAAACTGTTCCGTGTTGGCGGTTGAGGAATGCTCCGATCTGACCCATGAATGATTTTGATTGTTTCCTTTCAGTTTGGCCATATGAAAGAATGGGATCATATGTGACAAACAGAATACAGATTGTTCCTGAAAGAAGTTTGTTTTCATGATGGGGAGAACATTTGTAATGCTGTGGTCTCATTTGACTGAGACTGATGTTCTAAAATTGATGACAAATGTTACCACATCACCAAAGTCATTAATTGGAATATTGCTGAAGGCCTTTGTGAACCTACTCATAGTCCACATTTGAGTTATGGGTGTTACACTGTGTATATTTACCAATAAACTATGAAACAAATGGCTAAACTGACACCAAAGTTGGAGGTGAAGAGATTAGGAAAGCTATGAGATGACTACACCAAGTCAATGCTCAAGGAAATGAGTCAGCAAATAGGTCGATGCAGTTTATTGGCATTTCCATGGCGGGGGGCAGAGAGGTTAATCCCCCAGCCGCCATGTCCTGCTGTGGGTTCGATACCACAGGCAGACCTACTGCCACTCTTTTATACGCACACACACTGCCAACACATCAATATTATATGAGCGAGGGACAGGAGAGAGGGGACTGTATGGAGTTGACATTGTGATTTACTACGTACTCCCCCATTCACCTTTTTATTTTCCGTGTCAGAGCACTTGTAAATTTCTTCTCACTTTTTTTATTCTCATAACATTTTCAGCAATTTCTCCCCTGTTTATTAGATTCCAAACCATCTGTTTCAGCTCCGGTTAATTGGAGGTGAAACTCTGGGCCGGCCTTTATGGGGGGGGGACTCTACAGAGAACCTCTCTAGTACAGGAATACAGGGTTTCTTACAGGAAACTTTTTGCTCGTCTATCATCCTCACCTCAGAGCATATGACTGCCTGGTTCTTGCTGCAGGGAAAACCAAATGAAAGTCCTGTTTAATGCATGCATGGTTGGAGGTGGGTTACAGAGCTGAGAGTTAATTTATTTTAGTTCAAATATTTCACCAGACTAGGAAAGCGTTATCTCTTAAAGGTGAAAATCTTTCACTGAAGAACACTCAGACAAAGACAATCAGGACTGTGATATTTGCACAGGTATGGCTGCTTATAGATCACATAATCCATATAGTTGATATTGAATTAGATTTTGTTGATACATGTGGTTTGAATTTCTTCCTTTAATAAGTATATTGAAGTAACTGAAGATAAAAAAGATTTAAAGGCAAAATCAGTCCAAGGATGAGCTATTAATATTCAGAGACACATTTATGAAACCAGGCATGTGGCTCCCTAATGTTGCATTGCATATATTTTAGGATTTCTGTGACTCAGTTGAATGAAAATACCATCTGTGCCTACTGATGTGGATGGCAGGAAGTTACTGTGAGTCCCTGTCTGTGTCTACCTGTTGGCACAGTGCAAAGCACCCCAGGTGGCGAGTTTCTGCTCCATAAAAGGAGACGTTTTGACCAGGTCTGAAGAAGATAGCAATTTCTGTTCACCCAGTTTATTCAGCACAATATGTAAATAGCTATTTAAAGTATGATGATGAATTCGGGCGTTTGACAAACTAACATCTTTAGACAATACCCACGTTGCACTGATTTATTTTATTTAAACAGTTTTTAAAGCAAGACATGTATTCTGTAGACTGTCATTCACAACCCAAGGAGCATCTTCAACACCCACCTCAATGATAATAACAGTCAATACATTGTCATGGCAACTACGCTTCTTATCCTAACAACTGCTTCACCGCCCACAAAGGTCCCACAGCAACCGTCACCAAGCAACCCCCTCCCTCTTCTCAGTTTCTCTATTTAAGGAGCAGAGGAGGAGGAATGATAAATGATGCTGCACATAGAAAAAAGAAACATTTTAAAGGGAGTTGTGTGCCAAAACTTGTTGCTCTTAATTAACTTGCATAAAATAGAAACAAAGCTCAGCTTTTTATTGTTGAAAGGAATTCAGTATCAAAATAAATTAAATCAATATATAATTTACTGTTAAATATGTGCAGCTTAGCTGTTGTGCTGTGATCTTTCCTGTAGATGTCAGAATTGTGTCTTTTTATAACTGGGCTTCTGCATGTGTTATGCAACGTTATGGAGTTGTCCTGAGTGTTGCTTAGTTCAGCATGGTTATGCATTACTTGAATGCACAGGATGTCCTGTTGCATTGTACAGTGGTCCGCCCCCCGTATCCTCTCCAAGGATTCTGAGTCTTGGTATAGAGACTGACTGTGGTGTTGGTATTTCAGTTGTATCACTTACAAGAACAGAGCTGACCTATTACCCACAAGTTATTTCCTTGTTCCCTAAGCAACCTTTCCCATTTGTCTCATTTTTACCAACTAAACACTAACACCGGAAATCTTTGTGATCCAATGGAACAGTGAGAACTCAAGACAGGAAGGAGGAGGGCATTAGCTGAAAATTGTCAAAGTCAACAAGGCACCGTTTCAGTCCTTTTTTGTCATAATGTGTGATACAGAATCTAAATTATGCAAAAGGTAAAACCACACAAGCAAGCAGTTTCTTGTACTCTTGACAATGCTTTACCACTGAAATTTGCCAGTTTCATGTGCTGAATATAATGCACCCACACATCCCTGACCCTAGCTCTATACTGCCAGAGCCTTTTATGGGACAGGACACAGCTGACAGAAGAGGGTGTGGCTGACACAAGGAGCAGGATCGTATGACTGTTGTTGTTCTCCCAAACACGCTGAAGAACTGATACAGGGTGGATTTTGTCTTGGCAAAAGCATGGGACAGGACACTGGACTTGATCACTTTTATATTTTATGAGTGTTGCTATATTGATTCTAATTAGGGTTTATTGATGATTTGGTTACTTGCTATTACTTATGTGTAACATACTGAGAGAAAGTGAACCTGGGAGGAGACGTTAACTTGTTATATGTTGTGACATGATATTTCACAGAGAGCTGCAGGTGTCTGTTTTAGTCTTGCTGCTAACAACATGACAACCTGGTCTTGCCTGTAAGTATGGTGTTGCTGGTATGTGGCAGTATAGCAGCGTGTTTTAGTGGTTGATGACTCCTAAAAATGTGCTGTTATTGCTATATTTTTCAGACAAGGATAGAAAGAGCAGAAAAGGGCACTGCATAAACGCTAGCAGGTTTGGCTAAATGTAGTAGTATATTAACTCATCCTCTGGACTCATTAAAGAGAGGAGATAGAGGGCAGGGGCCTTTATGTCTGTTGGATTATCAACTCACAGGATAGACAAGGAGTGTTGCCAGGTATGAGGTTTTGGCACTACTTACAAGAAGGAAGAAGTGACTGGTGATATCATTTACTGGTTCAAAATGACTGCTGCTAGGAGGTGGTTAGCTTCACGGCGCGCCAAACTCTACTTGTAAGTTCTTGTATGTAAACTCTTCAGTAATATTTGTACATATTCAGTGGCACTGAACTTAATCATTGATTATCTAGTTTGCACATAACACACTTCCAAGTGTTTGGTGCAATATTTTGTCAACTGACTTGTGACTCATTCTAACAACGTCTGCTCCTTTCCTTCTGTAGTGTGGAAGAGGAGTCCCAGTGTCCAGAGACAGGCACCCACAAAGACAGCTCCTTCAGCCATACGCCCTACATGCACAGTTCAGAGCGCTACGGTGACAGCAGTACCAGCACCCCCACTGCTACCAGAGGCCCTTCATGTGTAACTGCCTCCAGCTCAGCCAGCTTGGCCTGGGCACTACGAACACGCCACCAACCTGCGAGTCTGGCCCTCCGCAAGCAAGAGGAAGAGGAAAACAAGAGATGCAAGGCCCTGTCAGATAGCTATGAGCTCTCGACTGATCTACAAGATAAGAAGGTATCAATGCTGGAGATACTGGGTGTGTGTTCCAAATGTTTAAGTTGTCTGGACTTTCCTAAAGCCATGGACAGTAGCAAACATTATGCAGATAGTACATTCCTTGGGGGTTCAAAACATCTTGACAGTGAATATGTAATCTGAGTTCAGTTCTTTCTTTTTTGTTTTCTTTCCCCCCACCCTTTGTCAGGTGGAGATGCTGGAAAGAAAGTACGGTGGCTCCTTTGTAAGTCGCAGAGCAGCAAGGACCATTCAGACTGCCTTCAGACAGTATCGCATGAACAAGAACTTTGAAAGGCTCAGAAGCTCTGCCTCAGAGAGCCGCATGACACGCCGCATCATCCTGTCCAACATGAGACTGCAGTATTCCTTTGATGAGCGACAGCCTCAGCAGCAGGCCCAAACACAAACAAACTTCACCCACAGTGTGGCCATAGGGCCTCCTCATTCACCCAATGCAGACCAACCAGGAGACTACACCCACTTAGAGGACTCCTTCTCCAAACAGGTAACATTACACATACTGCCACCGCATACTGCTGTCACAGAGTTTTATGCATACATGTACTGTATTATTCATGTGTTTCAGACATGTACAAATTAACTATAATTCCAAGTTTTTCTTTCTGACATGTGGAATGCTGAAGCAGGATGGCTCAGTCCTACTACCTTCTATCCCGATTTGTGTTTCATCTAGGTAAAGTCTTTAGCTGACTCGATAGATGAAGCACTTACCTGCCGCGCGGGTCGCAATGACTCCCAGGAGGGCAGCAGGGAGGGTGGAGGGATGAGTGAAGACTTTGGGGAGTGTGTGTGGAGCAGCAGCAGCAACCCCTCCTCCCAGAGAGGTTTGGGAGAAAGAGCCAGGGGAGCTGGAGGAGGACTCAGTATGCATGGCGACAGTACAGCCACCTCTTACAGTGATGTCACCCTTTACATGGATGATGGCATGCCGTCCTCTCCGCTGTCCCTGGACCGGGCACCGAGCAGCACAGATACAGAGTACTGGGGCCCTGGTGGTGGGGTTGGAGGGCGTGAGGACAGCAGGGACACTGAGGGAGGGGGCAGCAGTAACAGTCGGCGGAGCACCCCATGCACCGAGTGCAGGGACTATCGTCTGAGGGGCGCACATTTGCCTCTCCTCACAATTGAGCCGCCCAGTGACAGCTCAGTGGACATGAGTGACCGATCAGACCGGGGCTCTCTGAGTAGACAGCTGGTATTTGAGCAGGAGCCTGGGGTTGGAGCTGGCTCCCCTCAGGGAACCCTCAAACACTCCCCCAACACAGGCCCCCGCCTCCCCCACCACGGCCCCCCGCCCTGCCTCCACAGCGGCTGCCCAGGGTCAGACTCGAGCCCCTGGCAGACCCATACCCACACACATCCCGCACCAGGTGGCAGCTCACCACCACCATCACCACCACCCTATCCACCACCATCAGTACCCTGACACACCTTCATCCTCCTCCTCCCCCCAGCAGCCCCCCACCACACCTATGTCCTCCTCCTCCTCTACAGCTCTGCCCCCTGGTGGTCTGGAGCAGCCATGCTGCTCCGATGGGGATAATGACTCACTTAACTCTACTACCAACTCCAATGAGACAGTCAACTGCAGCTCGGGCTCCTCATCTCAGGACAGTCTACGGGAGCCCCTGCCTCCTCTGGGCAAGCAGACCTATCAGAGAGAGAGCCGCCATAGCTGGGATTCTCCACCCTTCAACAGTGATGTGGTACAGAGACGCCAGTACCGCATAGGTCTCAACCTTTTCAACAAGTAAGATGCTTGTAGAACTAATAAGGACAAGTCCTTATGGGTAACTCTTTTGTAGGTGATCATACATTTAATCTAATGAAACCATGGTGAGAAAGGTCTTGTTCACTTTTAATCGACTATAGGAAGCCAGAGAAAGGGATCCAGTACCTGATAGAAAGAGGATTTGTATCTGACACTCCTGTTGGGATTGCTCGCTTCATCCTAGAGAGGAAAGGCCTTAGTAGGCAGATGATTGGAGAGTTCCTGGGAAACCGACAGAAACAATTCAACAAAGATGTTTTGGAGTGAGTATGGGAATACAAGGCACATACGGAGAGCTCATTAGCAGGATTCTTGTTCTCTTAGATCTAAAAAAGGTATCAAGGCTCACATATTTCACGCCATGTTTAAATAGATCAGCCTTAATGGTGAGTGTCTGCTTTGTATGTTTCAGCTGTGTGGTGGATGAGATGGATTTTTCAGGTATGGACCTGGATGACGCTCTGAGGAAGTTCCAGGCTCAGATTAAAGTTCAGGGAGAAGCCCAAAAAGTGGAGAGGCTCATAGAGGCTTTCAGGTTTGTATGTGCTGAGGTTTACTATTAAGAGAAGATGAATAACTACAGACTGAAATGTCAGATTTCAGCTGCTGTGGCAAACTCTAAATGTCTCACCATTTTGTCTCTGTCTCTTCTGCAGTCAGAGATACTGTGTGTGTAATCCTACCCTGGTTCGGCAGTTTCAGAACCCTGATACCATCTTCATCTTGGCCTTTGCCATAATCCTCCTCAACACAGATATGTACAGTCCCAATGTCAAAGCTGAGAGGAAGATGAAAATAGAGGATTTCATCAAGAATTTGCGAGGTGCTGCCAGACAGAAAATACACACACTTGAAACATGACTTTATGATACACATAAAATGAAAATGACTGCCACTGATAAAAAATACAAGTATGTATTTTAGCAGGGTGGATTAGCTTTCTGATGAGTCTGTGAAAACTGTAAATATAGATACACACTTTGTAACTGGTGACTTGAAGTGCATTTTATTAAACATCATTTCCTAAAACCCTTTTTCCCTGTCTACCAACCAAGGTGTAGACAATGGTCAGGATATACCCAGGGACATGTTGGTTGGGATCTACCAACGGATACAGAAATGGGAGCTACGGACCAATGATGACCATGTGTCCCAAGTGCAGGCAGTGGAGAGGGTCATTGTGGGCAAGAAACCTGTGAGTTTCTGTGACCTCATAACCTTTACAGATAATGTTTTTGTCACAAGAGGACAGGTAGTTAGGCAGTTATGACTGAATGAGACAACATAAAGGGCTTTGAGATGTGTTATTGCTACTAGTTAAAGTATTTTTTTCCTTTATTTGTGCTGTATATGTCTACACGCATGTAGGTGCTGTCCCTTCCCCATCGTAGACTGGTGTGTTGCTGCCAACTCTATGAGGTACCTGACCCTAACAGACCTCAGAGGGCAGGAGTGCACCAACGAGAGGTCTTCCTCTTTAATGACCTGCTGGTGGTAAGATTCACATTCACCAATTTTTATGACATAGGAGATGTTTTTGCAACATATTTCAGTTAAAAGGCCCATGTAAAATAAAACATCCTATCTGCATTATGCACCAGGTGACCAAAATCTTCCAGAAGAAAAAAACATCAGTGACTTACAGTTTCAGACAACATTTCCCTTTGGTTGAGATGCAAGTGCACATGTTCCAGAACTCATGTAAGAAACCAGTGTTTGTTTTGAACATTTTGGCTGTGCTAAAACTGCGATGATGAAAACTCTTACTTCTCTTTGGATGCATTTTTTAGATTATCCTCATGGCATCCGCCTGACCTCAGCAGTCCTGGGAGGGGAAAGGAAAGTTCTTATCATCTTTATGGCACCCAGTCAGCAAGACCGCACCCGCTTTGTTAGCGACCTCAGGGAGAGTATTGCTGAAGTGCAAGAGATGGAGAAATATAGAGTTGAATGCAAGTACCCCATCTACTGGTTGTTACTGTGAACTCTAACTTTTATAAAGCCTAATCACTGCTGCGTATGGGTTACCACTATGGCTATAATGAAATGGAGAGTGATTTGTTTTCACTGGTTTGTGGCTTACTCTTCACTGTCATTTTAAATTCCCCTGTGCCCTCTGTTTTTATTTACAGCGGAGTTAGAGAAACAGAAAGGTGTGATGCGACCCAGCTTACTGAGTGGAGGGGTGGTTGGAGGAGGTGTAGGTGTGAAGAGCGATGTTGTGAATGGCACTCTGGGAAGGACAAGTTTTGATGACAACTGCTCGGTGGGTGAGGGTCTGAAACGCACAGCGCTCAGCTCATCTCTCAGGGATCTATCGGAGACAGGTGAGACAACAGACACTCCCCTGACGGGGTCAGTTTCATTTTCTTCCAGTCAACTGGGTTGAATTGGGTAGCAGAGCTTCTGCAATGATTTTGTTCTTTGTTTCTGTTGCTGCATCATATTTCTCTTTCTCCCTGACATTCAGACACAGCTTATGCAGTTATCCTTTTTCAAAAACACATTAGTAAAAGTTGCAATCTTACACTCTTTGCTAAAGTTACTCTTCCTGGTGGGGTGCAGGGAAACGTGGTCGCAGGAACAGTGTTGGTTCTCTGGACAGTACCATGGAAGTAAGTCTCAGTAAGACTAGATGTAAGACCTGTAACCTTTAGCAGACCTGCATTTCTGCTCACTGGTGCTTTATATTCCCAAGCATGCTCTGTGAGTGTACAGTGTGCATACTGTATATCAATGGTGTGCGCATGTATATGCATATGCATGTGTCCACATGTATCTGTGCTGCACTGACACCCTTTGCATGGTTATGTCAGCATGTCTTTCAGCTCCAGGTATAATTATGTGTTATGTGTGATGATGTAAGTGGGATCAGGGGCTGCAATCTCCCAGGTATTCTTTTAAAGCATGATGATACTTTATCCTCCCAGGGCTCCATCATTAGCAGCCCACAGCCACACCAGCGCTACCCAGTGCCAGGTGTGATCCCTGGCTGCTATGGAACAGAAGACTTCCGGCCTCACCGCCCCATCCTGAGCCCCGGAACGGGGGTGGGGGGTGGGCCGGGGCAGCAACATACCACTGCTGGGACAGGAGTTGGGGGAGTCTCCAGCAGTGCAGAGAGAACAGGAGCGGGGAGTGCCCCTGGGGGGAGCAGCAACAACAACAGCAGCTCCTTCCTGGGCTCCCTGTTTGGCAGCAAACGTGCCAAACCACCAGGGCCCCTTATTCCACCGGGGCCACCTTACCCCGCACCTGTCCCCCCACCGACTACGGGAGGGCCCCCTCCTCACTCCCCTTCACCTCTGTGCCAGTTGGACGGGGGGCCTTCCAAGATCCAGGCGCTGCACGCACAGTACTGTCACGCGAGCACCGTGCAGCCCCCACCACCTTACTACCATCACCATCGCTACCACGTCCAAGCTGTCCCTCCTCCTTTGCAAGGTGTGCCCCCTCATACTATACAGAGAGGCCCAGTACCCTGTCGTCCACCGCTTGGCCCACCACTCGCTCAGCACCCGCAGCTGGCCCATCTCTCCCAGCTCTCCCAGCATGGACTTCCGGGTCGTTACGCCAACATGGTGGTGGGATGTCCCCTGCCCCTTTCTCCTCTCTCCCAACATTCCCAGAACCCACAGTTCACCCTCTACCACGCACAGCCCACACACTCTGTCAGAGGGGCCGGCGGCCCTGGTACCAAACTTCCACTAACCCTATCTCACTCCCACCCACACCCCCACGCACACTCCCAAACCCACCCCGGACACGCTCACACACCACACCCAGTCAGCCATTCCACCCACCAAACACACTTTATATTCGGCACTCTGCCCCACAACCTACCATCCGCAT